TCTAGTTCCAGTGATGTAAAATTGGCACTTCTGATTGCCTGTTGCCATGGTGACTAATTGAATCTGGGCTGCACTGATAATGGCTTTTCATACTTGTTACGCACATGTTCAACTATAAGTCGACATAGTTAATGAATGAATGAATATTTATTTATTTATTTCAGACAATAATAATAGTAACAAAAAAATAAAATAAATTAATTAAATTAACAAATAATATAAATGAATCAAAAGAACAAATAATAATAAATAAAACAATTCCAATTTCAGAAATGATCAAATAATAACAATAATTAAATCAATTTCAGAAATACTAACAAATGTGTATCACATAAAAAGTGAATGGTAAACATTAATTTAAATTTCTTGTTCCGATTGGATTTAAATAATTTGAACACAAATAGAAATGCACTAAACAATGTTTACCATTAACAAGCATTATATTTACCCTAATGTCTGTCATTGATTATTTCTTACTGTAAATTGTCTGAGTTAAAATGGATTAAACTAATTAATGGCAGCTGTTGTGAATCTGAAACTTAAGAGTTCCTGACTTTAGGCTAGATCAATTTAGAGTTGAAGATTTTAGTCTGAGTTTGTTAAACCGACTTCATGAAACGGACCCCTGCTATATCTTTGATCTGAAAAAGCGCAATTAGAAAACGAGTCAATTTATAAAATTCAATCTGAAAACAAATCCAAAATATGAAATAAAATGTTGAAAAAGAAATAGAAAAATATATATAGAACAATATATCAGTGCCTGTTAAAACAATTGTTTTTATCCATCTATCCATTATCTGACACGCTTTATCCCTGCTGGGGTGGCGAGGGGTGCTGGTGCCTATCTCCAGCTGTCTGCGGGCGAGAGGCGGGGTCCAACCTGGACTGGTCGCCAGTCCATCTCAGGGCAACACAGAGACAAACAGGACTGTGGGAGGAAGCCGGAGTAACGGGAGAGAACCCACGCTCAGAGAGAAAATGCAAACTGTTTGGGTGTTCTTATCACCTCTGCTCAGTTATAAAAAAACCTGAAAAATAAACGGACACATGGAGGCACGTCTTGTGAACACACTCACTGTTTTCCTCTCACCAGTGGCTCCCATCAAAGCTCTCTGCAGCCAGTGTTACGACAACTGGAGCAAGAAGTTCGGCCCCCTGGGTCTGACCTGCAAGGAGCTGACGGGCGACACAGAGATCGATGACTTCTTCGAGATTCACGACTCCCACATCATCCTGACCACGCCTGTGCGTTCTGCAGCTCTGCATCCAAATCGAGCTAGTGCAACAACAGAGAACCTTTTTACATTTCATTCCCATTGCAGTTAACTCTGTGTTCATTTGTGTTCGTTATCTTGTTTATTTATTAGGAAAAGTGGGACAGCATGACAAGGAAATGGAAGGATAACTGTTTACTGCAGCTTGTGAGACTCTTCCTCATTGATGAGGTCAGTGTGTGATGTCAGCTGCGTCACTTTCAGGGGTGATAAGTAGGGATGCACGATATAATCGGCCCCCTATCGGTATCGGCCTTAAAACTGAATATCGGACATCGGCCACCCCACCGATATTTAACCCGATATTTGATCAGCTTCTGAGTTTCTAA